CATGGTGATCCTCCTGCCTCAGCCTCCTGAGTGCTGGGATCACAGGCGTGCGCCACCATGCCTGGCTTCGGAGAGTTTATATTGTTTTAAATTTAACTTTTCTGATATCTAAAGAATAATTTTATGGTTAAGAAAAAAAGAGTGAATGTTAATGAGCAACATTTTTATCAATTCTCTTGAACATTACCCAAATCAATTATCTTATTGCCCAGAAGAAGTCTACAAACTTTCCAGACTGAAAATCCTTTGGACTGGTACCTTACAAACCAAATTTGAGAACAATTGATTGTTTTCAATTCCTTCAAAGAAAGGTAAATATTTACTACATCTGATACTTTGCCTGTAGTCAACTAAGTTATTTTTTTTTTTTAAAGACAAGGTCTTTTTGAGCACTTTATTTTCTCCGAAGTGCTTTGAAAAGTATTCTGTTTTCCAATGTTCTTCATAATGCTCCATCTGTTCTGGGCTTTCGGAAGATTAAAAAAAATCTCCTCAAAAAATTCAGTGGAAAAAGGTAAAGGCTTTACTGCCAGTAGATTTTTGTTTCTCTTCTTTCTGGGCAAGAGCCAGTGTGTGTTTAAAAATAGACCTGAGAAATATCTACAGCTTGAGATTCATTCAACTCTCTAATATTTGCTCTAGAATAAAAAGGAGAGTTGATATATCTGAACTAAAATGACCCCCTTAGTTCATACCTTTACATCACAGATCAAATACTCCACTATCACCACTTCCTAGTGGAGTAAATGCCATTATATTAATCACACATTCATTCTCATTTTTAATTTGTCCTGACAAAGAGAAGGTGACAATTTAGGTCATTTCCAGTGTCCTGTGTTAAGGGATGTCCTGTGTTAAGGACCCATCAATGAATGTTACTTATTTTTTATTACCAATAATAGTTTCTGTGATCCTAAATCATGTAAAAATATTGAAGCTACAAAAAAGTCACTTATTTTTAGAGTTTTCTTTGAATAAAAAACTTAACATCATTATTATTATTATTTTGAGGTTTTGAGACAAGATCTCCCTATGTAGTTCAGGCTAGCTTTGAAGTCACAGTGTATCCCAGGCTGGCCTCAAATTCATGATGATCTTCCTGCCTCAGCCTCCCAAGTGCTGGGATTACAGGTGTGCACCAGCACACCCAGATAAAATTAACTTTTTTTTTTTTCCAGACAGGGTCTCACTATGGAGTTCACACTGGCCTTAAACACTATGTAGCCCAGGCTGGCCTTGAACTTGAACTCACAGTGATCCTCTGGCCTCAGCCTCCCAAGTGCTAGGATTACATTTATCTCTAGCCTGATGGATGAAAGTAGCAACTAATACTACCATTTTATAGCTAGGAAGAGTGAGACCCAGAGAAGCCTGAAATGGAAGTTTGGAGCCCAACACTGCCTATGATCAACATAATGAAGCCAGTGACCACTTAGCTTTGTAGTCTTCTTTTGCAGCCTATATCTCGACCTCTTTCTGAGCTCACTGGCTACTACCTAAAGCCCGAGCCTCTGGCCATTAATTTTTTTTGTTTTTGTTTTTGTTTATATTTTTATTTTGTTTTTGTTTTTGGAGATGGGGTCTCACTATGTAGCCCAGGCTGGCCTTGCACTCACAGCAATCCTCCTGCCTCAGCCTCCCAAGTGCTGGGATTATAGGCATGTACCACCATTCTTGGCCCTTGACGCTTAATTTTGAGGATGGATATTATTTTTTTTCATTACTGGGGACTGAACCAGAACCTCACGTTAGGTAGGTAGGTGCTCTATCACTAAGCTACATCCCAGGCACAACTGATATTATTCTTATTGACCTGATCACTGATGTGCTTTCTGACTTTGGCCATTTCCCTATCCCATTCAGCTCACCAGGGATCTGCTTTGCTTCGACCCTCATACCAGGCAATGTGATAAGCAGTACGGTCTTCAAATGTGCACATCTAGTGATATGAGGCACCCTAGCACTTAGAATCACAGAACCAAGACACATTAGTGCTGAAATAACTATGAAATAATTCAGTACAACTCTAATAACATTCAGATGAAGACACTGGTCCCAAGAGATTTAATATTTTGTCAAAGTCACAGAGTGAGTTTATAGCAAAGTTATGACTAAAATTCTACTCTTACGCTTTAAAAAAAAAAAATCGTGTGTTTCAAGTTTCTATTACTACTATGAATTAATTCTCAAATGTAAGTTCATGCATTTGTTTATGGAGTCCACGTCTTTATTGAACATATATTATGTTTTATGTGCTAGATACATAAAACAGATTTAATCTGCCCTCCCAGAGCTTATATTCTAGCAGCAAAATAGATTGTCTTTAATGTTTTTTTAAATTATTACCTTCTTATTCTCTTTAATGGTTTGATCAGTCTTCCAGTCTGGCATCTGGTAATCTGAGCAACTTCACTGAAGATACCAATAAGTAATATAACAACCATTGTTAATCCCTACCACTTGGTTTAAAACCCTGTATCATTGTTAATGTCCTTGCTTTGTTTTGTTTGTATTTTGCTATTGTTCTTTTTTCTTTTTACTATTCTCCTTAAAATTAAAAAAAAAAGGTATTATCACTGTGGAAAACAATATGTCAGTTAAACACAAGACTACTTGAAACTGCACTGCTGGTAAATACTCTCAAGAGCTGGAAACAGAGACTTGAGTAGATATTTGAACAGTGTAGAAGTTAGCTCAGCTGCTGTCACAAAATACCACAGTTTGGGTGATTTAAACATCATTCATTTGCTTACAGTTCTGGAGGCCAGAAGTTCCTGGTCAAAGTGATGTTGGCATTGGTTTCCTACTGAAGACTGTCTTCCTGGAGTGTTGACGGCCACCTCCTCAGCAGCGGATCCCAGTGATCACTGGCTTTTCCCTGGGTGTGTGAAGCCGAGAGGGTGGCCCTGAGCCTCTTCCCTTCTCCGCAGAGATGCAAGTGCTGTCAGATGAGCATCTCACCCTTGTGACCGCGTGTGAGCGTGGTCCCCTCCCTCAAGTCTCTGTCTCCAAATACAGTCACTCTGGGTGCCAGGGCTTCCACATAGAAATTCTGGGGAGACACAAATCCCAGAAAATCTATCTTGTCAATTTTTCTATAAATTTAAAACTGTCCTAAAAAAGAAAATATATTAATAAAAACCTTTTAGATACCCAAATCAAACTTTCAGAAATGAAAACACCATGTCTGAGATGAAAATACGCCCATGGGAATAGTGACAAATTAAACAAGGCAGGAAGATTAGTGGTTTTGAAGACCCAGCAATAGAAAATATCCAAACAGGGGGAAAATGGACTGGAAAAAATGAACAGAGCTTCAATAAGCACTGGAATCACTGCAAGCCCTGAACTACATACACACAAACAGTTTGATTACAAAGCAATATATTACTACTTCATCTTAGCTTTTCTGTTTGTTTGTTTGTTTTGAGACAGGGTCTTACTATTTTTTCAGGCTGGTCTTCAACTCACTGTGTAGCCTGTGCTGGCCTCACACTGGCGCCCATCCCCGCCTAACCTCCTAACTGCTGGGACCGCAGGTGTGCGCCACCACACCAGGCTTCAGCTTATCTTTTCACCATTTGTGAGCTTAGCATGGGTTTACATGTCTTTGGGTATAGGACTCCTCTTCTATTGTCTGGGAAGATGGGAGGCCCAGAGTCCTCTTTTTCCTGACTTCAGACAAACATATTTAAAATGAACCTAGTCTTAGCTTCCGACTCTCCTTTTTTGGAAAAGTTAGAAAGAGTGTGAGGTAGAAATATCTCCTTAAAAGTCAGACTTTTAATTGGAGGCAGCAAACATGGGCATAGTTATCTCAATTGGCGCTTCCTTTACCACCTCATGGTAGAAAGACACCAGATGAAACTGAATCGGTAGGCTGTGTTAAAGGTAAGACAAAGGTGAAATCACCCAGATAGTCCTTCTTCCCACATATGCCCTTCTTGGCAGTATCACATTAGGTCACTTTTTCATAGACTCTTTTGTGTTTTTTACAAGAACACGGGCCTTGCTTCCCGAGGCAGACTCCTTGGTGCCAGGAAGCCCGCTCCCGCCTGGCTGAAAGTACAGCAACTGGAGTGTGGCAAGCTGAAAAAGGAGAAAAAGTGCTTTATATTCACCCAAACAGAAACGCGTTAAAGTGACTGTTTCAGAGCCAGGCGTGGTGGCGCACGCCTGTAATCCCAGCACTCCGGAGGCTGAGGCAGGAGGATCGTTGCGAGCTCGAGGCCACTCTGGGCTGAAAAGTGAGCTCAAGGTCAGCCTGAACTACTTAGCGAGACCCTGTCTCACAAAGACAAAAAAAAAAGTGACGGTTTGTTGGAAAGAGGCCTGTGAGCAGGAGAAGGGCCAGGCGGTCTCGAGTTGCCATTTGGAATAGAACAGGAAAATGTACACAACATTTTGTGTCATAAAATAACAGGTGACAAGACTGTAGAATGTGGAAAGTAAAATACCAAGCTGAGTGGTGTGATTTTGGGTTAATTTATTTATTTTCTGTTTCGTTCATTGTTATGTTGTATTTTCTTCATGAGATCCACGTTTTATTTATAAAACTAAGGGAAAGTATGCAAGTTATAGCTTAACTGAATGAGATTCTGGACTCTCCTTAGGAAAGCAGACACTCCGGAGACTTCTCACCATCGTCACCTGTCTTGGGTGACTGCGGGGCCGCTGGGGAATGTGATCAGTCCCTTTGGTACACCAGCTGCTCCTCAAACAGCCCAGCGAGTTCCTGAAAGTGCCAGGCTCAAGACTCCTCAAGAAACCAACACAGAAGTCTCAGGAACACTGGAAACAACCTAATGGTACAACTTTATGGGTTTTTAAAGTAAGTTACGACATCTCCGGATAATTGGAATATTTGCACCCATTAAAATCTACGGCTTGTAAGACTATTTAATAAGATGGGAAATGCTCAAATTGTAACATTAAATTTTAAAAGTCATAGACAGTGTTATGCTATTTGAAAAGAGAGTTATATGCGCAATTTAATTTCCAAAAGAAAATAGACCTAATATTAATAAACATTATCACTGGGTGATAAAAATACAAATAATTTTGACTTCTTAACTCCTTTCTTTATTTTAAAGGAATTCCTATATGACTTAGTTTTATAATTAGAACACAAAATGTTATGATTATAATTATTCCGGAGGAGGTTGGCTTATGGAACTACAGAGTGGCTCACAGCACAGGCTCTGGGCAGGCACCACACTCTGGCAGGTTGGTCGGCAAGTCACTGTCCTGCTCTGTGTCTCAGTTTCCTTACCTTAAACTTGAGATGATGTCGTTCCTACCTCACAGCGTGGCTATAACGTGGAATGAGTCATTTCATAACTAAGTGCTTGAAATAGAACCTTGCGTAAACACTCCCCAAATTAATAATGATTGTTATTATTATTGTGGGCTGAAAGCTTTAGCCTATTTATCAGTTCAGCTATTCTGTGAATATGCTTACAGACCTTCAAAGGCGGAGGAGTCTGGTAAAGTATTTATTGCAACCCCCCTAATAATTTCCCAAGGATCCGGTGTTCTGCTTGCTGAATTAGGCAATGGGGAACATATGAAAAAGCCAGACCGGGGTTGCTGTTCTCTTTCTCTCCGGCCCTAGCACTGTGGGTGTGGTTACTGGGCTATCCCTGCTCATTCAAGTAACGAAGGAGTAAAGATCTGTCTCCGAATTTTTCCTTGGTGGACTCCCAATTTAAAGTTGTATCTCATCTCTCAGGGCTGAGTCCAATCCCATGATCCAAATTTGGGTGGAGATGTTCAGTGGAAAATCTCCCCCGGCTAGGAAAGCGGGCAGGTGTGGAATTTGAACATCTGTCATCAGGCTCCACACCTTTGCATTCAACCTATGTTGTATAAGTCCCACCAAATGAAAGAAGAAAGATTGAAGAAAGCCGTTCTACCCATCAAAACCAAATGGTGGGACACAGAGCGGGTCTGTTGGTTTCCCACTTCTTACTCCTAAATCTCATCCGTATAAAACAAGACAAGATCCAGTATGGCTTCAGGACAAAGACCAGCTGCTGCCCCAGATAGATCATAGAACAAAAAGGAAATACTTTTTTTTTTTTTTTTCATAAAATAAAGAGTGAGTTATAAATAAGGCCCCAAGTGCACCATAGTGGGCTGGAAATCTGAATACTGGTGTCCTTCTTTCAGAGGAATAAAGCTTCTCAGTTGAGGCAGCTGCACTGGGTGAATGTGTGGAAGGGGCGGGGAACCTGGTGCTCTGCGAGGCCTGGGCTTTCGCCGACTCCTGCAGCACTTGCCAGTCTGGGCCTTCTGTCCCGCCCTGTCTGCCTGTCATCTGCATCCTTGTCTGGCACCGATCTCCCTCACATGTGCTCCTTCTGCTTAACGACTAGAATGCCACCACATCTGGGACGCCTGCCCCTGCCCTTTGGGGACCGTTAGCCATTCTCTCCTTCCTGGGGGCACCAGCTCTGGGCCTCTTCCTCTAGGACACTGCCCCCAACAATGTGTGCTGCTGTTCTCTGTCCTGCCACACCCCAAGTCCCTGAGGTCAAAGGGCACAGCTTTTGTTTTTAAATTTATTAATTTATTTTACTGAGGATTGAACACAGGGCCTTTACCTTGAGCTACTCCTCAAGCCCCCACCTTTTAAAAAATGTTTTAATTTTGAGTCAGAGTCTTGCTAAGTCACTAAATTGCCCAGAGTAGGCTTGAACTTGTGATCCTCCTGCCTCAGCCTCCCAGGGTGCTAGGATGACAAGAGTGTGCCACCATACCCAGCTACATTTTTTTTTTTTAAGCTAATGGAAAATAAATGTGAGATAAAGTGGTAAACGGTGCCCGGTACATCATAGGTGCTAATAAATATTTTCTTATTCCTTTGGTTCTCTCATTTAGTAGACCCAGCACTGAGTATAATTCCTCAAAGTCCATGGTTATCACACAGATTTTCCTTGAATGAATAAATTAACACATTCCACATCCTGCCTTGAAGGTAGGAGTCACATTTCGATTTGACGTATGTCTCCTTGAGTATCTTCCTATTTATATCTTCTCAAATAGCTGTAGCACTCTTGTCACATGGCTGGGTACAGTAAATAACTGCATTGATTTTCTCTAGCTGGAAATGAGACTGATAGGTTAAAATTTTACCTCTGGGGCAGCTGCAGGAAACATGTGTTCCACCATCTGTTTTGTTTTGAGGAGAGTAAGATTGCCAAGGGTCCTAGGGACAGAGCTGTAGGTCTCTGGTAAAGCTTTCGCTTGGCCCACTTGCAGGAAGAGGACTGTTGTCTTTTTTCCTTTCTCTCTCCCTCCCTCATTCCCCCTTTCCTTCTTCCCTCCCTTCTTCTCTGTCTGCTGCCTTTCTTCTCTCTCTCATCTCAGTCTGTCTCTGTCTCCCTCTGTTTCTCTCTGTCTCTCTATCACTCTCTGTCTCTGTCTGTCTGTCTCTCTCTCTCCTTCTCCTCCCATCCAATATTTGACTGTAGATGAATAAGCCCTGCAAAAGTGAGAACACTGGTGAAATCCAAGCTTTTACTGTATGGTCCAGAGTAAGACCTGGAAAGTCTCATTTATTTACATTTGCCCAGAGTTAGCCTAGTACATAGTCAGTATATGCATAGCAGATATTCAGATTGTATTTCTTTCATAAGTGAAGTTGCTTTTAGAAGATACAGGAAAAAAAAATGTAGCTGGGTGTGGTAGTGCACACCTGTAATCCCAACACTTTGGAGGATGAGGCAGGAGGATCACTCTGAGTTCGAGGTCAGCCTAGGCTACAAAGTGAGTTCAAGGCCAGCCTGAATTGCATAGTGAAACCCTTTTTCCAAAAAAAAAAAAAAAAAAAAAGAGATGTATGAAATTGATAGTATAATTTTGTGACAGATGTGGTGTTAAAGCCATACAGTACAGAGAAGGGATGAAAAATTATTCACTTGTCCAGAGTCCACAATTGAAAAAGTGTTTGTCACTGGTTATATAGCATTGAGTTCCTGGCATATAATAGATGCTTTAAATACCATTTTGTCTAATCTTGATAGCAAACTTGAAATCCTATTATAATAG